ACCAAAATCAAATTTAAAAAGTGCTAAATCAGAATTCCTATTATGCTTTTTTTTTTGCAAAACACCCTGTAGCATACTTTGGAGTGGTACTTTAATAGAGTAAGGCACATCCTCAACTCAAAAATATATGTTCATTTCCGAAAAAAGAAATTCTTATTCCACAGTAAGTACCCAGAAAGTATCCGATACTTAAAGAAATAGCAGTGTCTAAATTGGTTAATTGGTTGATTCAATGATCTGCAGAGGGTACCAGAGTCATAATCCTGAATAACACATTTACTGAGGACTCAGCTCTGCTGAGATTTAAAACAAGACTGGGGAATGATCGAATGAAAATTATATGAATATGATTAATTTTTTTAACAGAATCAAATAAGAAACAAATAAGGACGAATGGAATTCAACACTCCACATACATTTGTGGACTCCTGTAATTGGCCATTGGGATATAAATAGAATAAAAATACTGTGTTAGATGGTTATTGCAAGCATGATGATTGCAAACATTTAAACTAACGGGCCTGAATAGAGTCCTAAATGTACAGTATATGGGATTTTACAATTGACCAAACGTAAGGACGGCTGAAATTGAAAGACAGATTTGGGACTGACAGGGTAAAGCTATCGTTGTATGGCAGCTAAACTTATTTGACATAATGCCACCATTCAAACAAAGCAACAATGTTAGATATTTCAGCATGCTTACCTTTGTTTCCTGAGTTTCAAAAGCCTGAACAGTCTTGATTCTGAGGATAGGTGGACTTTTAAGTACAGAACAGTTGGCTATATAAGGCTTTGTACTACATCTTTGCTGATGTATTGAAAATATTTAGCTTCTCTGCTGTCACAGCTGGGTATCTTTTTATATCAACGGGCAGTGTTTGGCATCTTTTCAGTGATGCTGTGCACAGGACCGCGAAGAGCCACATACACAGATACACACACATGTACACTTACCAGGAAAAAAAGGCCATTTTCATGTGAACACAGCAAATTTTTCACATTTTGTCTAGGTTGTTGGTCATTTTTCTCTTTTTATTTGAAATGTAATCATTGATGCTCCGATATAAGTACAGTGCATAGAACACGTACACAAAGAATAATTCACTTATAAACAAGAAGTAAAAGAGATTGTGAAGCATGAAGCAAACATTTGCCATTTATTTGGTAGCAATCAAAAGATCAATATGCACCTTGGTTCTTCTTTAAAGGGCTGTAAAAGAGCAATTTGTTATGATGCAACACCGGGTGGGATGTTATATGCAGTTGCCATGGTTTCTGGGTGTAAATCAGATTTTTGTTGTTTTTTTGTATACATGGTGTCCCTGCTTTTCATGGGAATTGAATTGCTCCTTGTAGACAAATCCCACTTTTCATGTTTTTCTTGGATGCGCCATATATAAAGGCGACACAGAAAACAGTGCATGTGTACATACACTGCTCGCAGTCATCTGAAAGGAAAATGCACTCTCTTCGGAGTTTTACATTTTGGGACATAAGCAGGCAGTTATCAAAAATATATCAAATTTCAAAGGAACTTAATAAATAAATGCATCCCCTTCAGCAGCTGCTTGCAGCTGCTACACCAGAAGTTGTTTCCAACTGTTACAGCCATTTCTTTCTCTTAATGTCCCTCTGCAGCACTTAATCTAGTTTAAGGTTTGGACTTTGGCTTTGCCATTCTTATGTTTTTCAGCCAGCGTTTTGTAGATTTACTGGTGTTGATTGTCATATAATAAGACCAGAATTCATCCAAGCATTTTTTGTACTACAGTTGTATTCACATCTGACTCTAGTATAATTTGATACGCCTTGGACTTTATTTGATTAAAATACCGCTAGATGTCCAGGCTACAAAACAAATCCAGATCATCACCTCACAATCAAGATGCTTGGCAACTGGTACAATTTGTTTGGCCATACTTGTTTAGTTTCTTTCTAACTGTTCTGTCATTAAATTTAACTTGTAACACACAAACTGAGGTCTGCAAGAGTGGGATGTGGGGAGGACTCTGCAAGCCCCAGATCTGAATACAATGTGAGAGTTTTTTACTTTGCAATCTGCAGTTACTTTGATTTGTACAAAGTCTATTTGTCCTTTTTCTTTTATGATGTCTGTAATTGCTGTTGTTATCCTTATGACTTATTTGCTAAGACTCTTATTTGTCAAAATGATGTGCACTTGACACTGCTTAGCTCTGTTGAAAGAGATTAGTTCTTTTGCAGTGGTTGTTATCTGTGTGGATTGCAAAAGAGTGCCACATCTACTGATTTTGTACTGAGCTAAAAGTAATTATTAGAATGCACCATTATAAGCCTCTAAAGTAGAAAAAACTTCCATTTAAACATGTTCCTGATAAAGAAGTCACTTCATAATTATGATGTAGTAATGCTGGACATTTTTTACATAGTTTTCACTCCTATAGGTTTGGTTTGATTTGTTCAAATTCACTGGCGAAGTTGCACAGCCTTTTTATATGTTATTCATATGTTATTGAGGAATGTGTTCTGTAAGTTTATGAATTAATCAAACCAGAAGACAAGTTAATTATATTTACATGCACTAGAAAATAAAAATAAAACACTTTTCCATTAGTTTGCGCTGTTGTTTTTGTAAATTTATATAGGGTAATGCTCCCCTCTGCTGGCAAATAAGTGTATAACAATGTCTATGAAAAACAAAATGACATTTTTTAGTACAAAATTTACAAGTCAGCTTGAGAAATCTTCCTCGATAGAAAAAATCAAACACCCAGAGTGCTTTATGTAATCACTATATCGTTGTCATGCATAAAAAATGCTTTTATCATCACGTTTGGTCTCAATTTCTGAATTTTTTACCTCCTGTTGCAACGACTGGCCTACGCATTTTTATGCAAATTGACACCAGATGGAATCGCACTCTAAGCTTAGGTTCAGTGCATTCAGATTCACAAAACGTAACTGAGAAAACAATTACTGAGACGATATTGCTGCCAAATTGCAAAAAAGTGACTAAAGTAGACTAAAGAGTAAAAAACATAGAAATATTTTTAATATTATGCTGATAACAGCTGTTAGGAATTTGAAGCTGGCTTGTTTGTGACTTAGGGAGCCAGACCTTTTATATTTGAGTGATATCTGCTCATGCCTTTCTTGTCACGAGAAATATCTTAACTGTGTAGGATCAGTGAATTTAGTCTTTTGCATGTTTTTGCGAGCACAACGTTTTTTGAGAATTTTTTTTATTGTACTGTTGTTAACAGCTTGTTCCATTCTACTCTGCCAAAATATACAAAAATCAAATGTTACCTCTGGGACAGTTTTTTGCAGCAAATGAATGGCGGCTCAATCAGGGCGAAATAAAATATTTTCATAAATGTAAACAAATATTATCATATCACCTCTCAGTAGACATTTTTGCATTTCCCATGCCTACCAGTGGAGACAACTTACTGAAGAGGTGGGAGGCCATGCGGGAATGACGCATTGGTCTCTGTGTGCTGTGTGGGAAAGAGACTTATCAAAGCAGGTCAGGAGTCAGATGTCTGTGGTCTAACATCGAAATCTGCTTGTAAAGCCTAATTGGTTGAAAAGTAGTACAACCTCTGTATAGTGCTCTCTTATTAGATTAAATGTGTGTCTCGATGAACTACAGGATTCTTTAGGATAACAAACACTGAAAATGTTATATGCAGTCATTTCCAGAGCTCACTGTTTCATTTGTTTGCTTTCCCTACTCTCATCTTGTTACCAGGAGAGCCATATTTTTCTCTTGTAAAGCAAAGCTCTGATTAAAGTAATGAGTAGGTAATGGCTTGTACATTTTGCCACAAAAGGTTTACAAGTTAAAAGGAATTTGTTTCAGCCATGTTACACTTACATCTCAGGGCAAAAATAAAGAAAGCATAGTTTTTGTAAATGTCATTTTTATTCAATTTCAGATACAATATTGTTATATCAAGAAAAATGGTGCAATTATTTTTGGCTAAATAATCCCTGTAAAGCCATTACCTACTGTACGTTCCTTTACCCTTGTTTGTCCACGATTGTGAAACTGCTTTGTTAAGCTTGGTACTGCTTGTGTATGGATTGTTTTTTCTTTGTTTGTTCTTTCTACCTTACGTTGCCAATATCATTATAGTGACAGCAATGAGAGTGAACATAACCAGCACATCATAGCAAAGAGCTGAAAAAATGTTGATTAGATATCAGTAACTGTTGAAAGGAGTAGTCTATAACTGATTTATTGCTGGCAGTTTGTTGATCTGTCCACCCAGTGTAATGGCGACTGACCTCTGACCTCTGCTGTGGCTCCCTGACCTGCTTCCTCACATGACCCTTCCATATATCTCCAGGCCAGACTTGGCCAAGTATCAAAAACAAGATATGTGTATACTGAGCATGTGGCCAGTCTATCAAACAGCATAATGCACTCAATCTGTCTGCTGCCAGATGCTGTTTTTATGATTGTTTGAGTTTTCTTCATGTTGTTCATGGCTACACAGGCAAACAGTTCAACTCACTTACTGACTTACATCATTACGAACATATGTTGGTGTTTGTCATTGAATCAGACTATGATATTATGTAGTAAACTGGAAGCTACAATGTGTTTAAGTGTTCACCATGGCCCCGTGCGGCTGAGCTTTCATTTCACATGTATTTATGTAAAACACATACAACTAATCTCTTCTGACAGCTTACAGCCTTTTACATTTCCCCCAAAACTTCTCACAGCCCTGCAGAGGAGGCATTCACCTCACTGACGTCAGCAGCCTGTGAAGATCTGCACCCCATTTTTCCATCCTCTGTGTCTTTCAAGGGGTCAGAGGTCAGATCCTTCTGTGGGACTTGTTCATCATAAGCACTATGAGACCAGCATGGCGAGGCTGGAAATAAGTGGGAGGGAGAAAAACTATGTTTGCAGGTGATCACCTCCAGGAAAGCTCCACCACCAGTGGCTGATGGATGACAGCACAGAGGAGGGGGGACAGGGTATAAAATGAGCCCTGGGACACGCAAGCAAACTGAGGGACGCAGCTTTCACAAACTGATTCATAAACGTGGATATTTACTTGTTTTGTTAGTTTTTTTCTACCACTGTCGGAGAAGTCACTATGACTCTACTGAATTACTGGATGAGTTTGATTTCTGTATCACTGACCGTGACCACGAACCACGCTTTGAGAAGGTAGTGGCGGACCTCCTTTATGCATCTTCCTGCTTTGCTTAACTAGCACAGTGCAGTGGTTAAAACCTTGCGGTGTAACTGCATTCGAAGAGGAGAAAACTTCTGTCTGCGTAAAAGGTTATAGTCTACAACTAAACACTGAATGTGCTTTATTTGTTGGTTACAACAGTGATTTCAGCACCAGTTAACATGTGGTTTTGTTCTCTTTTCTGGCTGGGTGCTGGAAGCAAAGCATGTCTGTAACTTATTATAGGCTCAATGTCATACTGGGACCGTGAACAGGAATCTGTGTCAGATACATGAAAAATGTACCTGACAGGACTCTAACATTAGTTCTGTCATCACATCCAGTGCTTTCCTTAGTATTTATCTTAATTGTTTCCTACTTTTCTTCTTTTGCTTACTCTGATTCTAGAATCCCCCTAAAGAAGATGCCATCCATCAGAGAGACGCTGAAGGAAATGGGTGTTTCTACAGAGCAGGTTTTGACAGAGCTTGCGCAGATCGGCGCAGCTGAAACTAAGAATGGGACAGTTCCCACACCTCTGACCAACTACTTGGATGTGAGACAATTCTTCTCTGTTATAAATCCATAGCATAATTTGTTAATCTTACCACATGTAGAAAAATGAAAAGCTCTATAGGTGATAGGAAATCAAGATGTGTTAAATTAGGGGCATCTGGTTATGCTGTTTTAGTTTTAGACAAAAAAAAAGCTTTCATCTTGAGGGTTAAAGGGGCCCACAGGTCTCGGGGCATTCACCGCTGCTCTTGGATGAGTGTTGAAATGTCTTCTCAAGTGTAACAGCATATCCATTTGCCTTTGAATTGGGACTTTCTGAGTGAGTCATACTCTCAATGTTACATTTTATACCCTGGAACTACATTTGGGTATTATTGCACAAAGAAACATTTTTTCAAAGACTGCAGCCCAAAACAGCAGACTGTTTCCTCGTAACAGACTCAATACTTTGGAGAAATCAGTATTGGCTCTCCGGCCCAGATGTTCAACGTGGTGTTCGACACGGGTTCAGCCAACCTGTGGGTACCTTCTCAAAGCTGCTCACCTTTTTCCACCGCCTGTTGTAAGTATGAGCGTGCATAACAACAAAGAGAAAATGGTATAAAGATATCACAATCGACAAATATGCTGTAACAGTCTGCTAAATTTGCCTGGTGTAAAACTGAATTTTGAATATTTAGGTAAATTCTGTGTTCAAATTAGTCATCTCTTTAAGCGTCCACTTGTTTTATCACTCAAATGCATTTTGAACTGTCAGTTACTCACAACAGGTATGATGCATCACAATCCCACACTTATGTTGAGAATGGCACCGGATTTTCCATCAATTATGCTTCTGGAAGTATTAGGGGATTCCTTAGCGAGGATGTGATAGTGGTGAGTTGAAAGTCTAGACCTATGACTCATAGTCCTCTCCTGTTCATGTTTAGCTATTAAATTCTAAGAAGAACTTTGAACCGTGTAATGCCTTTAATCACTGCAGGTTGGTGGTATTCCTGTGGTGCAAGTATTTGCTGAAGCCACTTCTCTGTCAGCGATGCCCTTCATCTTTGCCAAGTTTGATGGCGTCCTGGGGATGGGTTACCCCAACGTGGCCATTGATGGTATCACCCCGGTGTTTGACCGTATCATGTCACAGCATGTCCTCAAAGAGCAAGTGTTTTCTGTCTATTACAGCAGGTGGGTGTAAGTAAATAATCTAACTTTATTGTCATTTGAAAATAACATGTACAGTTTAAATTTGAAAAAAACTACTAAAACAATACACTAAACATACACATATCTTTTGAATAACATAGAGAATTATGCTGATTGTAAGAAAGAAAATGAAAATGAACTTAATATATCTCTTTTACTCAAGTTCCTGCTTTTTTCTATACTTCTATATCGTCAGTTATGTCTGCATCTCCAATGAACCAGCTGAGCCTATAGTCTGTTGTTATTCCACTAGAACTTTTCTTCTGTTTTTGTGTTATTCTCATACACGTTTACTTCTCTGGCATCTTATGTCAGCTTTTATTCTTTTGTCCTCGTTTAATTTTAACAGACATCTTAAATGGACATAATTCTGACCCTGTGGGTCCCTTGGTCAGTGCCCGCTATAGACCCATTTTAATCTTTACATGGATGTTTAATTGTTTTAAGAGACCCAAAACATTCTCCTGGTGGAGAGCTGGTCCTCGGGGGGACTGACCCCAATTACTACACTGGGAATTTCAATTATGTGGAAACCAGAGAGATGGGAAAGTGGGAAGTTACCATGAAAGGGTGAGATATTTGCTTATACTGAACACAATTGCGGGTGAACAGAATCGTTCAGATAAAACAAATCCTTTTCTTACCCTTCCTGTATTTTACATTCAGCGTCTCTGTGGGATCAGAGATGTTGTTTTGTGCTGGGGGCTGCACTGCTGTGATTGACACGGGCTCCTCCTACATCACAGGCCCAGCCTCCTCTGTGTCTGTGCTGATGAAAACCATCGGTGCACAGCCTGATGAAAGTGGAGTAAGTCTTACCCATATCACATGGTTTCCTACAAGAAACAGTGGTCTGTAGATATTTGCCAACTTTAATTGTCCTTCACGTTGTGTTTTCCACCAGTACAAAGTCAACTGTGACGCTGTGACGTTGTTACCCAGTGTCACTTTCCACCTGGGAGGCCATGAGTACTCACTCACACACGAGGATTATATCTTATGGGTTGGTAGCAGGGCAAATGCCACATCTTTTTATTATTATGCATATTTATAATAATAATTTTTTTGTCCTTAGAGTAACCAAAAACTAACAATTTTTTCTCCTGCTGAAACATATTTCAAATAATGTACATTATTGTGGCTATTTATTTCAAAGTTTAATCAGTTGTGTTTTTTATGGTACTAATTATGCATTTGTTGTCTCAGCAATCCCAGATTGAAGGAGATGTCTGCACCGTCACCTTCAGGGGACTGGACGTGCCACCCCCCGCAGGCCCCATCTGGATTTTGGGAGCCAACTTCATTGCCCGATACTACACAGAGTTTGACCGTCACAATAATCGGATAGGCTTTGCAACAGCAGTCTGACAAGAAGCGAAACATTTATAGTTGTGCTGCCTCTCTGCGCTCTGTTTTTGCTGCTATATTCTTACTACCTTTGTGTTCAATTGTATCATCTGCGTCTTTTTACAGTAACTCATGATCAAAAGTAGTAACTCCTGATTTAGCAATGACAATGAGGAATGCATATCATTTCTTGCATTTTTTCCCTTGTTATCTGGTACTGGTTCCACAGAATGCCTTCTGATGACAAGTTATTATTTCTACACATTTATAAGCCAATGCATTTTTTCCGTGTGCGTTCCTCTGCTTAATACATACAGCCAACAATGAAAATGTATATCTGCACAGTTCTGACTTATGAATAAAGTTTTTTTGGGTACTCCTCAAAGTTTATTCTGATATTGGATGCATTTTTTTATCCCAGTCTGCTGTATGCGTTCTACAACAGTGATCAAGGCTGAAGTGTCAAACAAACACTGCAGCCAATTTAATCAGTCACACCAAAGAATGTCAAAAATGATTACCTTTGCAGAACGATTCGTTATAAACATATCTGTTTTTGGGTAACTCTGTGCTGTGCAGCTTGAACTGCTTTTCAACATTCTGGTTTTTGGGAGGCTCCTTTCAACAATACTGAGGAGCTGGACTTTTCATTTGCAGAACAAGTTATTTTGGTGAAGCCTAACTATCAGAAAACTGCACAGTGTGAGCAAACATGCATCCTCAAGTTCAAATAAGACTGACTTGACAAAAATAGCTGTGTTGCTTGCCAAGAAGAGGACACACAAGGGCAATAAAAGCACCTAAATTTATCAGATGCTCTTGTCAGATCTTTTGTTCCATTTTCTCAGAAGCAGTCGGGAATTTTCCCATGCTACCCAGAAGTGAAAGTGGAGATGTCACGCTTCCTTGTCCTTACATCCATGAATTGTCTGGTCTAGTTTTGATTTGTTCACGCCGTGCAAAGAGGTGAGGGTAGATGCTCGAAACTAATCAGTTGTCTAGTTATTGTACGTTTCTCATTTGAGTCCATGCAAATTTGCAGACAAGAAGCCTGCACAAACAAACACTGATACACGGAAGATTTTTCAAGGGATTCAGCTAAAGCTGTATCTTAAAGCTGAAATATGTGCAGCCCATATTACAGAAGGCATCATGTAGTTACGGTAGCCTGTCACACAGAGGTCCATCACTGTTAAGCACTTTTAAAGTAATAATGTTTTTAATGCATCTCTTTATCACTGTCAAAACCAAATGGTGAAAGTTCAGCCACTCCATTGTTTGTGAGCTGTGCAGCAGATCAGGAAGAGGAAATTGTTTTCTATTCTCTAAATCAGTCAGTTTCGTCAACACTGACCAAATTCTATGAACAGTATCACATGGCAGCCTAGGTCAATCCAAGAAAGTTATCCCTGATTACATGCTACAGACTATGCTTTGCATGGCTCAGTAAAAGGCAGAAAAATTGTTTCAAATACTCAAACATTTCCAGACACTGCAGTTTCTTGTATTAGTGAGAGTAGTGTTTTCAATAAACTCGCTATGGGCAAAGGTTCATTGATAATGTGCACAGCTTTTGGACAAGTTGCACTGAGGAAGAGAAACAGCAGATCAGAACAGCAGAACCGTTCATCAGCCAGATTTTTATTCTTACTTCTGAGATAAAGAACATGACGTCAAATTTTTTATATGAGACCTAAATTGAACTGGATGCCTTGAAAGATGTTATATTAACCTTGGTTCTGGGACTAGTTTTTCACTCCCAATGTAAAATGTACATGTAGAACCGTCTTGCTGTGAGGCAATGGTGCTAACCACCACACCACCGTGCCGCCATAAATTGCACAATCTACCCACAAAAAAAATGGCAATCACTCAATGTTTCACCTAGGACCCTGCAGAACCATCAGGACCTTGTTTGTGTAGGTAAACAATCACACAAATATTCGAAAATAACATAATAAATGGTCTCAAAAGTAAAGTAACCAAATTGTCTGCTTCAAATTTAGTCAATTGATAACTTACCTTTGAAGAGGTATATTGGTAAATTAAAAGCAATACTGTATTTTCCTGTTTTTTATGAATCTGTGATCGGACAGTGGTTCGTCTCAGGAGTTTATTGAGAAAGATTTTGTCATCCAAAAGGAAAATCAATGTATTCTTTCTGTTTCACTAAGAAAGTGACTGGTATTTCCCATTTAACTGGTGGACATTTCCTAAATTGTCAAGCAATGCATTTACAGCTGAAATTAAGCAGTGGAACTAGTTTTAGATAACCTTTCAAAAAACATAATTTCATTAAGACATCAGCAGCCCAGAACATTTTCATTCCAGAGGGAACTATCACTGCGGAAAAAAGCTTAATGAATACTATCATTCTGTTTAGAATGAATAAGCGTTGCTGTTCATTAATAACCTAATCCATCCTTAGTTTTACTTTGGCAAATCTGTGTAGATCAAATGAAGACAAATCATTTCGTCAGTCAGTTTTAAACTTAGAATTGTCCCTGCTACCCTATTAGGGAATAAGCGGTTACGAAAATGGATGGATGGATGGAACTTAAAATTGTTATTGATGTTTTTAAAGATAGAGTTTTCCAAAAAATAAAGAGAGAAAATAGTAAAGAATTTTAGCAATTCGTGATTAAGATGTAAAACCATATTTATTGACTTTCCTTCCTGAGCATATAAACTACTTTAATTAACTGTCATTAAACTTTAGGCTTAATGCATTTCTTTAGAGAGGCCCAAAGAGTTGGCTGAAATTCAGACGTGAAAGATGGAAGCCACGTTGCTATTGAAAACACTGCATTCAAATGTAAATGACAGAGTCCAAAATAAAGCTATTTGTTACACTGGATAATCTCTGAGACAAAGGGAAAGACATAGTGTGTTCTCTGTAATGTTAACCATGCTTTGGAGTCTGTTTCAGAGACTGGTACTCACAAAATCAGCCAAGAAAGAAGCAGGAACCAAAGCGTAACTGAACTATTTGAAACAACCACCGTTGATTTTCATGCAGAGGTGAGTTCTTCAACATCAGAGTCTGAGAAAGTCTCCAGAATAAGCAACAGCAGATAACTGGTGAAAGAAGGCTTAAAGGAAAGAATAGATAGATGGATAGCTGCTGAGAAGCCATATAATTATGCATTTAAAAACACCAGTTTCAGTTTATTATTTACCCCAAAAAACAGGTATGAATATTTGAACCATTCCTGAAAAAAAACGTCTTATTTGTATAAGATCTAATACGCATTGTATATCTAAAAAAGTGTTTAGAATTGCTCTGAAATGGACAATGGGTGCACAAAAACAGACAAACTAAGATAGTTGTTAAGGCAGAGACCCGACAAACATGGAACTGAACAAAAACGTAGATACATTCAGGCGGCACGAACCACGGAACTTTGCCTGATATAGTGGAAACAGGCGTGCAGTGGAGCTGAGAACCAAAACAGGAAACTGAAGATAATCAAGATGAGACGAAGCCCTAACATATGACAGCATGTCTTCACATGGCCCTTTCTACAAAAAGCTGTTTAAAGAAAACCTGCAGAAAACATGTGCAACCTTTCAAAACAAGAAGCAATCGCCACTGACAAAACTTTGTGTGGGAAATATACAATAGATTAAATCACCCTTTGTAGAAGTGAAAGAAACAGTTGTGAGCATGCAAATGATCAGCTATCCGTTAGAAGGTCACAACAAATGTTTCACTTGCATTGCTCAGCCTTTCTGTTGTGCAAAATAAATAGTATTCTCCCTGGATTCTGCTGAAAGATTTCACTCTCCTTCACTCCTTTTGAGACTTCTAGTTTTAGGGCACCACATTTTGCTGCTTTCTCTCAAGGAGTTTTGTTATTTGCATAGATGGTATTTATGTCTAGAAATCATTGCAGGTTCTGTGGCTTTCAGTGAAGCATGGCCAGAAGCCATGTGTGCAGGCACATTTTGGCATGACTCATTCAATGTCCACAAGAACAATTCAATATTGTGAGAGAGAGCTGCATACACTTCATGCTTGGCAGTTACATTAATGGAAAATATAAGAGCCACTCAGAGGTACTCATTTTCTGGAGTTGCTCAGTAAAAATGGTAATGAGGCAACATTTAAGGTAAGACTGAAATTGAAGAGAGAGATCATAATACGTTGTTTTTTTGATTTACCATAGTGGTCACATTTCATTCAATTTTGAATTACAATGTTTAAATCCCTTGTTTTCAGTCCAGCTAGTTTCAGTAGTTTGTTGGTTTTAGAGGGTGGAGAAAACAACTCAAATTAATTTTAAAAAGTGGTATTCATACCTGGCATGGTGTGGTGGTTAGCACCATTGCCTCAGCAAGGAGGTTCTGGGTTTAAGTCCCTGCAGAACCAGAACCTTTCTGTGTGGAGTTTACATGTTCTTCCTGTGTGAATGCGTTCTCCAGCTTCCTACCATCCAAAAACCTAAAGTTTATTGGACATTAGAAATTGCCCTTGTGAGTGGTTGTTTGTCTTTGTGTGTCTTTATGTGTGGCCCTTCGATGAACCGACAACGATCTACCCTGACTCTTGGCCATTGATTACTGGGATAGGCTCCAGTCCCCCCGCAACCCCATTTGGGAATAAGCGGTTCAGAAAAAGGATGGATGTACATTTTATATCGGGAGTGGAAAACTACCGTCTCAGAACCAAGGTTAGTATAAGATCTTTCAAGGCCTCCAGTTCAATTTAAGTCTCATATAAAACATTTGACATATTGTTCTTTATCTCAAAAGAAGGGGGGTAAAATCTGGTTGATGAATATGATACTGATCTGCTGTTTCTCTTCCTCGGTGCAACTTGTCCAAAAGCTGTGCACATTATCAATGAGCCTTTGCCCATAGCGAGTTTATTGAAAACACTACTCTCACTAATACAAGAAACTGCAGTGTCTGGAAATGTTTGAGTATTTGAAACCATTTTTTTTTTTAAGTTCTGCCATTTACTGAGTCATGCAAAGCGTAGTTTGTAGCATGTAATCAGGGATAACTCTCTTGGATTGACCTAAGCTGCCATGTGATACTATTCATAGAATTTGGTCGGTGTTTACGAAACTCACTGATTTAGAGAATAGAAAACAATTTCCTCTTCCTGATCTGCTGTACAGCTCACAAACAATGGAATGGCTGAACTTTCACCGGTTGGTTTTAACAGTGATAATAGGATGATTGCATTAAAAACATTAAAAACAGTGCTTAACAATGATGGGCCTGTGTGTGATAGGCTACCGTAACAACACAATGCATTCTGTAATATGAGCTGAATAGATTTCAGCTTTAAGATACAGCTTCAGCTGAATCTGTTTAATTTTTTTCCGTGTATCAGTGTTGGTTTGTGCAGGCTTCTTGTATGCAAATTTGCATGGACTCAAATGAGAAATGTGCAATAACATTTTTGGTGGACCATCCAGGATGTACCCTGACTCTCACCCATTGACTACTGGGATAGGCTCCAGTCCCCCTAAGACCCCATTAGGAAATAAGTGGTTCAGAAAATGGATGGATGGATGGATGGATGGATGGATGGATGGATGGATGGATG